TTTTTTTTTTTTTTTTTTTTTTTTTTCTCTTTTTCAATCAGAAGTTTTGGTCATGTTCTTTCCATTTTGGGGGCCAAATGACCAGTGTGCTATGCGTTTCTCTGGATGTACAATCAGGAAATTAACATGGTCAGCCAAGAAATGACCAACTGATCAGTTGTTAGATACATCACAGGATACATAGTATTTCTTCAAATTGTCTGCTGGGGTCAATAAGTGCAACTTATTTGTGAGTGAGTGAGATGTGGTTTTTTTTTCTTTCTCTCAGAAACTTTTTACTTGTTATTAAAGTAGTACATAATATTTTTTATTACAATTCTTCTTCATTTTATTTTTCAAACACTGTAATACTGTTTGACCTCTTGATCACTTTCAGTAGGCTGAGAAATTAGGGATAAAATAGCAATTCATTAAATAGCATATTTTTAAAACTGATTACGTTTTGTTAAACCTTTGATCTCTTTTTCCAAATAGTGAAAAGCTATGTTCTCTATATCACCACGGGAGCATCCCCTGGGTCAGGAACTGATGCAGATGTGTATGTCATGCTGCAAGGCACTTTGGGAGATACTGGTAAACGAAAATTAATCAGAAAAGGAGATGATAACTTCACTGAAGGAAAGGTATGTTTACCATTTCTGTAAGATATTTTGTACTTTTATAGCCCAGTCCAATTTACATGGACTTGATAGGAGTAGGATAGAATCTACAAAGAGCAGTTTGCAATACTCTATGATTGTGTCCATGAATGTATCTATCTTAAAAGGAAGTCACTGATACTTATGTAACTGATGCTAACAATGCTGAAAAGCAGTCAAGTGATTTTAAGTTCAATTTTGCAAATCGAATGTCTTTGGTTACATGCCAGTGCTTTTACTGACGATTTGTTTGACAGTAAAGTCAAAGAAACTACATTTCACAGAATCACAGAATTGTAGGGGTTGGAAGGGACCTCCAGAGGTCATCTGCTCCAACACCTCTGCTAAACCACGTTCTTTGGTGCAGCTGAAAGGAGACAAACTGGCAATGCCAGCAGTTGCTTGAAACACTCCAGACCTCTCTATACAATCCTTGCCCAAGAATACCTATAGCCAGCACGTTGAAAAATCTTTTCTTTTACAGTGTCTTGGTCTCACTTCTGTGTGTTTTTGCCAGGTAAATTAGAGGTGCATTCTGTGCTCTGCATGCAGGAGTGGGTTGTCACGGGAGTTTAAACCAAAGTAAACAAGGAATGTTTTCTTGGATACCTCTTTTCTTCCCTTGTCTGTCTTCATGGTGAGGCTGCTTCCTGTAAAGGATCTATGGAAAGGCTCATTTGCTGCCAGCCTACCTCTTAGTTTGGCTCTTGCTCTTTCTGCAGACAGTGAACTACTGCCCTCCATAGGTTACTTAGGCCATAAAAAGAGTCATTTTTTTCACTATACAGCTCATAGATGTAGACCAAAGACAAGAATAGCTGTTGGAGATGCATTTCCCTGTAGCACTGTCAGCACAAACAGAAATTAGAGAGTTTACCTATTAAACTTTCTGTAGAAATGCAGGTGACAAAGTTTAAATCTTTATTTGTAAGACACTGAATATCTGTGGATGAGGATGCTCAGTATTTAAAAGGCACATTTATCTTCCTTAATTTTGAAATTCCGATTATGGCTTATTGAAAAGCTTTATCTGAGTCATTGGATTTTAGAGCTGCAATCCTTTTTACTCTCATTGAGTACTTAGTTTAATGTAAGTTTTATTGGATTTCTCCTTAAATCTTAACTCCACAAGTGAGCAATGAAATTTTTAAAGAAGAGGACCAGAAATGCTTATGTAGAAATTCTACCCTGAAATCAACTACAAAGAGAACCTGAAGGATACTCTTACAGTATTTGCTTATGCTTTTGAATGACACAAAATTTTTCTTTTGCAGGATAAGAGGCTGAGTTGGCATATACCCAATACTCTTCTTTCCTTATTTGACATTTCATATGAGCAGTATGTAAATGCAACATGGTATTATATTTGTAAGTAGATATTAGCACAGGAATATTTTATGGACTGAAAAGAAATTGCTTGTAGATATGTAATAGAGAAAACAGAATTCTAAATCTAAAGGTATTTGTCTAATTGAGAAAGAATAAATTGTTTCTGCAAGCAAGACTCCTGCCTTTGCAGCAACATTTTGTTCACGGCGGTTCTTGGAAATTTCCCAATGTTTTCTTCCCGTTATAAGTAATCTCCAAAAAGACTCTCAAGTGTAGAATGTCTCTTTCTGTACCAGCCCAATCACATATTATGCTGAGCACCCCTGCAGTCAGGGAATCTGGACTTGGTGGTTTGGGGGATTTTGGCAGATAGCAGACATAGAGAATTTGCATTCTGAATCTTAACAGTTGTTCTGACATTTTAAAATGTGCTTTTCTTTGCAATAATTTTTCCCCTGACTGTGCAGTAACAGCTAGCGAACTGGAACAGTGTTTCTGTTAGAAATCACATCAAAATATGGTGTTAGTCTCATAGAATGTCAGCACTTCTACAAACAACAGCTTAACAATGCAGAAATGCATAGAAACATTTAAATATGCAGAGGACTTTGCAGAGAATTGAAGATATCTTATTTAGCGGGTCTTTTATTTACATGAGCTGAGTTACAAGACTGTAAAAGGCTGTATTTGCTTCCTATATCTGAAAAGTTGCTTTGTATCTTAATAAAATGCACACATCCGTAAAAACACTGGATAACTGTTAGATTAAGTACTGTGCTTGAAATTTTTCATTCACTAGGAAAAACTCCCTGTGGTTCACCCCAGGTCTGAGAGAGTAACTCCATCACCAAGATGGCTGAGCTTCCAGTGATCTACTCAGGCAAATGAGTGTGAGGACAAATGCTTTGAGAGCTGTATTCTTTCAAATTGCTGTGACACTGATGCCTTATTTGATGTTCTCCAAAGAAGCTACAACGTCAGGCAAAGCAATCTTGGCACATTTCTTCATGCAGTTCAGGTTTCATGAATTCCTAATACTATTTATTCATACTTCATGAGTCAGTTCAATTCTGATAAATGTTACTGGCTACAAACACTTTCCTGAACCAAGTATTCTCAGTGCATGCGTTTTGTAAAAATCAAGTCCCAGTGTGAAAATATCTCAGTCTTACTGTATTTCCTGCTGCTTCTGCTACCCAGTGTTTTGCAGCTAATGAAATTCTTCACACTTCTTTTAGGTTGTCTTTGTTAAACTTGCTGTATGTACTATCCTATGGCTTTGAGTTATCCACAAATTCCCTCTCAGAAAGTGTTTCTTTTTTTTTTTTTCAGTTCAGTTCTATCAAAACGCTAAACTACGTTGAATATGTAATGACTGATATTTAAGTATTTTAATATCTGTGTAAAGGCCAGTATTACATATTCTGTGTTACTGAAACTGTAAAATCTCTGTGAGTTTTTACTTCATTCTATTAGTTGTTGAAGAGATATATCCTTTATTCTGCCCTATATTTAGACATCAACTGCTCAGGTTGGTACCATGGTAACTGCAGCACATACAAAAATTGTCAGAGAGAGGTGACTGTTGGTGTTCCATTTCCATACTCACAGATTAAATATTGGCAATTTATAAAAATGGCTTCAGGAAAAAATCTGTGTAAAAGAATACACTGAAAAAGGTCATGAATGGGGGACACAATACTGTGGCCACTATGAAGTGAAATTGATCTGAAGTGTCCACATCGTGTCAAGAATATCACTATTGTATAAATGCAGATAAACCATTCTCTTATAAAAAACATACCTGACATGATGATTGAATAATTGCAAAATGCCATTGGCCCAAATGTATTAATCATAGTGACAGGCTTCTGGCCAACATATTGTATTACAGAAGTGAACAGTAAAATGGTCTGCTCACGGAGCAGAAGTATTATTGAGATAGGAACTAGAAAAATACAGAATATCATCAAGCTAAAGGAAAGACTGGTGGAGATTTTCAGAAATAGTGAGGAGAAAAGTATAAACCATGCTCTGGAGGCCCATCACTGCCAGTTGGATGAAGGAAGGGATTGTCTGCTCTGTGCTATGTGGCTTCCTCTCATGCACTGGCTGCAGGTTCGGGCACCACAGTGTAAGGACATAAAAGTATTAGAGAGTGTTCAAAGGAGGGCTGCAAAGATGTTGAAAATCTTAGAGGGCAAGATGAATGAAGAGCAGCTGAAGTCCATCGATTTGTTCAGCCCAGAGTAGAGAAGCCTGCTCATGGCTGCTGCAGCTCCTCACAGGGAGCGGAGGAGCAGCGCTGAGCTCTGCTCTGTGTCACAGCAACAGGGCCTGAGGGAACGGCATGGAGCTGCGTCAGGGGAGGGGTGGGTAGGGATGAGGGAAAGGGTCTGCACCAGAGGGCGGTGGGCATGGAACAGGCTGCCCAGGGCAGTGGGGACGGCCCTGAACTGCTGGAGTTCAATGAGCATTTGGGCAGTGTTCTCACACATAGTTTGAATTTTGTGTGGTTCTATGACAAGTCGGGAGTTGGACTCTATGATGCTGTGGGTCTCTGCCAACTCAGGGTATTCTAAGTAACACAGAGCATTGGGTTAGAGATGTATAAATAACTATTTTATATATATATATAATTAATAGTAATTAATTACTTGGGAGGTTGGGGGGGCTGTTCTCTGTCTACGTAGAGCTCAAAAATAAATGTTAGTTTTCTAAAAATGAAATACATATCACAGTTTTTGTTGCCTGTAATGTGCACATTTATTCTAACATGATGATTTGACTTTCTTCTAGAAATGGAGGAATGCAGGAGCTTCCAGGAGGTGGTTACATTCTTTATTTTTGGCGGGGATACTTGTCTTAAAAATTAAGTGAATTATCCTCAGATGGTGCCTGATGCTTTCCCTAAATAACAGTGAAATTAACAAATTGGCTTCCATAGATCTGTTTTTAGCTAGACAGAATTAGTGAATGAGTTCTATGCAACGTTATTTCATTGATATTTAATGAAAAAGATAATTTTGAAATAAAATGCAGCTGACTATTAGCTTGATTTATCATAAATTTCAGAAGAGTTACTGGCAATAGAAGCCTGCATTTTTCAGCAGTCAGTTTATTTGTCCACTTTTCCTATGTGCAGCACTAACTAAATTAGCTTTATTGAACGTTAATGGTTTAAAAACATACCCAACTCAAATTTTCAGATACAACAGCTTCTGGTGATGAAGAGCTTGTCTAGCTGAAAAGTTGTTTTAGAGGTTAGATATTCTTAGATAGAAGAACACACACTATTTTGTGTGTTTGTCATCAGAATCCAGCATCAGTCCATCTTTGACTTCTTAAGCACTGGATCTTGTTGCATTTTTTGACTCAGCTTGGAAAGTCCTCTTGAAACAAATTTCTACCATCTTTGACAGTATTTAGGACAATAATCAAAGCTCTATGCTTGTTTTTGACAACTTAAATGGATTAGTCATTTAAATACTTATGTCACTGAAGGGTAGGCTTTCCAGTGGTTTATTAACTCCCACAAATCTTTTCTTAGGACTCTTTAATTTAGCACCCTCCTTCTTCAAGTGTCATAATTAGCAGGTGTTTTTACATCTTCTCTGAAATCTTGTTTTCCTACAGCAAACTCATAAAAACATTGA